ATGGATTGTTTTTCTTAGCAGCTCTTTGAATGATTTTCTTCCTTCTTTGCCTTTTTGAATGGATATCATTTAAATGCTTTTTATCCATTCATATGTCCCTAAATAATAAGCAATATTGGTGATATTGTTTGTAAACATCCATCTAATTTTACTATTTTATAAATAGATTAATGATTTCAAAGTTATTGATACTTTTTTGGGGGTGGATTGCTAAACAKGACATTGATTTTTTATTGTTAAATAGTAAATTTCAAATTAAATGATATTGTAGTTGTCCCTTACTTAGTATGGGGTCATTGTCTAGATAAAACATGGTAAGTCTCTTAAATCAAATAAAGAACCTACCCTAAATTTCTATTATAAATAATTAAAAAATGAAATAATTCAAATTAAATCAAATAATTACTTGCTGAAAATTATTGGATTAAGTAAATAATAATAGCAATCACTTATTTATAGAAATTATTAATAATAATAACAATCATCAAGTACTTAATTAAGTAAATAATAAAAAATGAAATAACAATCATCAGTTATCATTACTTCGAAGATGTTTAGGGAGAATGACGGTTCAGCCCAGGGTCAAAATTTGTAGGCTCAAAGTACATTTGGGGTAGGTGCCAGCTCGGAATTGATGCCAATTCACAGGCGGGTATAAGTGCATAGAGTGTGGGTTTTGGACCTTTTGAATGCTTATAGCTCTGTAGTGGAAGTCAGAAATCTTCATTGAGCCTTCCGTACTTCTCGGATGTTTATTCAAAGCATTTCCCATAATAATTACCGAATATAGTAATTAAACCTTAAATAAGAATCAATATTTATTAACAATCATTAAAATTATTAAGCCAAATCATTAATGTTTATTCTTAAATGCAAAATATGAATTAACAAATCTATAATATGATAATTATACTCGGTTGGAAAAATTATTTTAAGTAAATATTTAAATAATTAAAAATTTAGTTATTATTATTACTATATAACAAAAAATTTAAATTAAATACCAAAATAAATTAATAATAATAATAAAAATGGTTAAATTAAAGTAATGAATAGTTCAAGTTGAATTTAATGACCCGTATAATTTTATGGGTTTGACATATAAGGGTCAATTTACATGAACCCATAAACTGTATAAATGTCTTAAAAAATGACAGTTTATAAATAGTAATAAAAAATTGTGATAAAATTCATTAATGTTTATTCATATATATATAACTTCCCCGTACTTAGTATAGGGTCATTCACTAGTTATCAACAATAGTACGCTTTAGTATGCATTGTTTCTGGTGTTCTGCAACCCGTTTTTCAAACTCAGTATAGAAGATAGCCTTTTCGGGTGTTAATGGACCCATTTTCGATCATACTGGTGGACATTGGTTTTTTTCCGTGCATCATGCATCATAAAGGCTCTATTAGATTTAATTATTAATCTTTATGAACTAGGGCCCTACTAGAAACCTCCCATTATACTTTCTCCAAAAAAAAAAAAAAACAAACAAACAAAAGAAAGAAAACCCATTGAAATGGAAAAAACCAATCTTCGAAAGTTAAAAACAAAACTGGGTAATGCAACAACCTTTGTGTATTAGTATGATGGTTCTGTAAATTTCTGAAATACATTATCTTTTTCCAAAAACACTATATTCTTGGTTTACATTAAGTCAAAATACGTTATTCTCAGCTTACACTACTTTTTTGGTAAACTGTTGAAACCTTTCCTCAAGTTTCTAATTGTTTCTGAAACCTCCCTAAAGTTTGTTAGTTGCAAGTAGACCCTTCGATAGAATCCTCTAAACAAAGGCATGAAAATGTCCAAAATACCCATGCAGTTACTTTGACTAAAATGTTTATTTTTCAAGTTTTACTTTGATTGAAATGTTTATTTTCCAAGTTTTTTCCACATAAGAATCAATCTCCCAAACCCTTCAATCTCTTGTATGAAATTGATAAATTGTCCTTCATATCAATCACTGCAATTTTAAATTCTTTTTTTGGTTTTCATAAAATTTGTATTGTTTTTTTTTCTGTAGAAACCAACCTCAATAGTAACTGCATGGGTATTTTAGACATTTTTATGCCTCTTTTTAGAAGATTCTAATAGAGGGGTCTATTTGCAACTGTCATAAAGTTTAGGGGTGGTGATTGCAATTACCAAACTTTAGGGGAGGTTTTAGCAATGTCCAAAACTTTAGGGGAGGGTCCAAAAATTTACCCTCTTTCTTTGGGGAAAATGATGAATTTTTTATTCATTTTTAATCCCATGCATCTATCATTATATTGAAATATAGGATTTTCCATGCATTGCACAGGCCCCCACTAGTAACTAAAGCATCGCTTTCCAACATTCATTAAGAGGTATTACCGGTATTGGTGAAGTTTTCTTTCCTCTGATCTCTAAATGTAGAGAATGTTATTTTGAATTCTAAAAATTGTCAAATGTCCATTTTAACTCCATATATGAGAATTTTTGTTGGTCTATTTAATTAATTAATTATTAATTAATACTAACATAAGAGTTAATAATTAATTAACAACTAATAAGTCATAATTAATTAAAATTCAATTTATACTAATGCTAATTATTATAATAATTAATTCAAAATTTTACATTAATAATTATTATAATAATTAATTAATATTAATTCATAGTTAATTATTAATTAATATTAATAATGATTAGTTATTATAATAAGAAGAATTAATTAATTCTTATTTAAATCTTAATTATTATAATTAATAATTAAAAATAGTTATTATTGCATATGAGGCCCTTGAGTTATAAGGAAGGTGAAGTGTTTTGTGTTTTGGGGGTGTTATTGGAAAACAAAAAAAATGTAAGATTCCCCTTTAAGAGATAATAGATAAGAGGAAACGAACGGTCATTTTCCTCTTAAAGTTGGAAGATTCCTCTTAAGAGGTAAAAGTTAATAAAAAACGAATGGTCATTTTGCTCTTAAGGCTCAGGGAGTACAAATACAAATTTGTAGAGTGCAAAACTATGTATTTTATATTATTTTGTATGGATTTGTACTATACATATTTGTATTTGTACTCCTTCCAAACTGAGCCTAAAGTTGTAAGATTCCTCTTAAGAGATAAGAGTTAAAAGAAAACGAAAAGACCCTTACACAGTTACACTCACTATTAGCATGATATTATAAAAACACACAAATAAAGACAAAATGAGAAGTAATCCAAAAACTTCCTTAAAAGAATTTATAAAAAGGGAAGCAAATCTCGAAAACCAACAAAACAAAAGAAATTGAACAACAAGGGCTCATCTCCATTTTTTTTCCTTTACTCCGAGGAGAAATCAGATCTCTCCTTATCTGGTTCTCAGCTTAGCGACAAACCCTAACTCCCAAGATCACCAGATCAGGAGCCTCATTTTCATCTTCCATCCCCCATCTTAATCATTGCTTTAACTTTCAAGAACCAGATAACTAGAGCCTCACCTTCATCCCACACTTAAATTCTCTCACTTTACATGCCATTGAGTAGTTTCTCAAAATTTCTTTTTGTTTCTAAATTTAAGTGACCCATATCACTCAGTTTTCTTTTAAGGTGGGTAAGAATTTCTTTACACATTTTCCAACTCTTGTGAGGGCCTGCTAGGGAAGATCTCAGAAGAGCTAGAGAGACATGACTTGCATGGGTTCTAATCCAATCCAGCTTATCTCATCTCAACCATCTAGAAAGAACTTGTTGACCATATGAAGACATCAACATCTTAGGGTCCGTTTGATTCGCTTCCGGAATCAGAATCAGAATGATCTATTCCTATATCCTGTTTGGTTCAGACCAAAATCAGAATCAAAATTGAAAACAGCTGGAATTCGACCTCATTCCCAAGGGAGGGGGTGGGAATGGCCATACCCTCAAATGGGGAATGTCATTCCACCAGGAATGGGAATAGGATTTTGATTCCTCCCAACCAAATGGATAGAATCAAAAAGAACCATTCTGATTTTGATTCTAGACCCCTATTCCCACGAACTGAACGAGCCCTTCGACTCTTGTCCCAAATTCCCAATTAACCTCGAGAGGAACCCTGGCTAGTGAGCCAAAACTCAATCACATCCATCTCCGTATATCAAGCATCAAAATCACAAACACCAACCAATTTAAAATTTGTCATCATACGTCACCCATAACCTTGGAATTAGGGATGGCAATTTCCCCCATTTCCCCGATCCCCATGGGGATCCGCCCCGGGGCAAGGATGGGAATCCCCACTAATATATATGTATATATGTATGCATACATTATATATGTAAATATATAAACATATATCTATGTATTAATATTTTTAAAAATATGGTTGAATATATTTGAATATTTTTTAATACGATTGTAAATGTTAATTATTTTATTTTTATTTTTTTAAAATAAAATAAAAAACAAAAACAAAATGGTTAGCATTATAAAGAATCACAAGGAATGGGAATCCCCGTGGGGATGGGGATGGGGATAACCTTGTCCCCGTTAGCAGGGATGGGAACTCCCCATCCCCACCCCGCCCCGTTGCCATTCCTACTTGGAATCCTCCATTCTCTCCACATGTGTAGGTGTCAATAGGTGATTCACTATAACAGATAGTGCTTTCATGACCCATTCAGCGCCTTGATTCACTTAGATTGAAACAGTTTCATCAAGGTCCCTACCAACACATGAAACCAAGTTTCTGTCACATTTTCAGAAATAATGACACCATCAACAAAACTTCCGACTCAGGATCTCCTGCCCACGTCTACCACAATACACTACCCCTCGTGAATTGAGAACATCTCCCCCTGCATAATACTATGCAGGAGGATTAAATGTTCTCCATGTATGGCTTCGATGTTACGTGGGTAGACGTGGGCAGAGTTTGTGTGGGCGATTCAAAACTTCCTCCTTTAAGTATCAAAATGAACCATCTCTTGAAAATCTCCCAAACGTAACTTACGATTTTGGGATGAAATTTAGCAAGCAGACACAAATAGAAGCAAAAAACAAAAAAAAAATTCTTCTAAGGATCTTTTATTTCCTGCTTCTAATGCCAAAGGAACCAATCACAAAATCATTATTCTGGACATCAATTGAGAAGAAAAGGTTACACAAACTCAAATGGTATTGGAAAAGAAAAATAAGACCATGTGATGGGAATAAGGAAAAACCAATCAATCATGTTAATACTAAAAAAATAATGTTAGTATTTTTGGTCAGTGATGTATACAGATCCGTAAGTGAGTGCTGCCTGGCGTCTTCTATAGCACTATAGAGGAGAGATCTTGGAATATCGTTCTCATATCTGGTCTCTCAGAAGCAGGAAGAACACATCTTAGAGCCACCCGTAGGATATCCTGCAAACCTCTTGCTGTATTTTCAACATTATCATTATCTATAATCAGCCTGTCGAAGCACTCTTCTGAACGATTTTCAGCTGCCAAGAATCTAACCCAATCTGTCAGATCAACTGCTCCAGGGTGCCCAGAGACTATCTCTCCAGCACTTTTCGCAGTAACAAGCTCCAGCAAGATCACCCCAAAAGCATAGACGTCACTTTTCAATGATGGGCATGGCTTACTTGAATTAGCAAATTCAGGTGGACGATATCCAAGTGCGCCTGCATTCAGAACCTGCTCAGTTGTACCAGCTGGAGACATTATCCGGTGGAGACTATAATCAGTAAGCAGTGCATTCAGATTAGGAGATTCTAACAAAATGTTTCTTGATTTTATGTTGCCATGAGGGATTGCTCTTTCATTGTGAAGGTAGTTTAGACAGGAGGCAACATCTATGGCAACGTTGAGTCTCTGATTAAGAGATAAAGGTGGAAACTTTCTCAGCTCATTCTCTGCAAAAGGCATAAAAAGCCAGCAATAAGTTATCTGAAAAAAACAAATAAAAATTCAGGTAAGGAATACTAATCTCACATTAGGACATCTCTATAACCAACAATTTCTAAGACATAACAATCCTAGACAACTGTAATGTCACATTCTTAATTGTTATAAAAAAGAAGAAGAAACTCTAATAAAATAGATCACATGGTTATGATCATGATGTTGGTTTTAGTTCGACAAAGAAGACAGCCTTGGTGGGAAATGTCAGATCATGAAACAAAAAATAAATTAACTTGCTACAGTATTCTTGTTGACAAGGGCGTATAGGTGCTTGAAACTGCTACAAACATTAATAACTATGCTAATCACAATTCTTTTCCAACACAAGACATCAAAAATGAAAGAAAACTCCAAAATTTTAGTCACACCTGGAAAGTTCACTCAATCAAGATGTAAGAAAGACAACTCAAAGTGGAAACCAGGGTATTAGCAACTAGAATATGTAGAAAGAAGATGAAGAAGACAAGGGGGGAAATTCAAATAGCCATACATGCAGCCTATTCCTTTCTCTTTTCATAGTCAATACCCAACTCTCCCAAAAGTTATCTCAACCACAATAATTCTGACACTCCATATGCCATTGCCCTGTACTCTGCTTCAGCTGAGGATCTGGCAACTACAGACAATTTCTTCTTCATGAGACAATGTTCCCTGCCACCAAGGCACACTATCTTGAGATGGATCTCCTATCATCAATACATCCAACCCAATCAGCATCAATGTATGCCTCTAGCTTCATGTGTCCATGCTTGGAAAATAGAATACCTTTCCCTAGAGTACCTTTCAAGTAGCACAAAACTCTTTTGAAATTGCTAAATGTGTATCTCTGGGAGAATGCATAAACTAACTAATAATGCTTACTGCATAAGAAGTGTCTGGCCGAGTCATGCAAAGATAATAACAACTTCCTGAGAATTCTCTGGAACACCCCTATCAGTCAATAGTTCATCATCAATAACAAGAAAGCTTATGGTTTAGGTCCATAGGGGTAGAAGTCACTTTAGCACCAAGTTTACCAGTCTCTGCAAGGAGATCAAGAACATACTTGCATTGAGAAATGAAGATATCATCCTTAGATCTAGCAACTTCAATTCCCAAAAACTATCTGAGATCCCCCAGATCTTTTATCTCAAATTCAGTGTTAAGAAATCTTTTGAGCTTAATCACTTCTCGAGTGTCATTACCTGTAACCACAATGTCATCAACATAAACAATCATAAAAGTCACCAAAGAGTTACTTTTCTTCACAAACAAAGTATGGTCAGATTGAATCTGTGTATAACCAAAAGAAACAAGGGCAGCTCTGAATCTCTCAAACCAAGCTCTAGGGAACTGTTTGAGACCATAAAGAGACTTCTTCAATTTACACACATTCCCTTGCATTTGCTTTCTGTAGAGAACATTGATGTGGGCCCCACAGTTGTGGTCCCACTCTGTTCGTAGGGTAGAATGTATTTAGTCACAGCTGTGGTTATTTTGCTATTCTGTTATTTCTAGTTTCAGTTTTATATTGTTTGATTATTTGTTAGCAGTTATGATGTAAACACCAA